TGTACAAGAGGTTGCTAAGAAATTCATTGGTTATCTAGGTGTGGTTCCCTCCATTCAGGAACCCATGAAGTCTTTTGTGATAATGAGGGTGAGATTGCATTGGCAAAGGAACCCAGATCACACAAGAAGACCAGGCATATAATTTGGAGATTCAACTTCATTCGATATAAAGTTGAAGATGGTGAAATCAGTATTCACAAAGTTCGCCCTAATCAAAATTTAGCGAACCCATTCACGAAGGCCCTTCCTCAGGACAAGTTTAAAGGACATGCTCGAGGGATTGGACTTTCCTATTCTAGTGATTGGATTTGTTCTATGTATTAGTATTGAATATTAGAACATTTTGTAGCATCATCTATTGTAATGACTATATTATATATGGCATATGATCTTTTCATTAAATATTTGTTGAGTTCTTTATTAACATGTTTAATCCTTGAGTAAATTTATTCACTCTAAAAACCATAGTAGGTTATTGCGTGGGAGCAATAATGAAATAAGGCTAATGTGAATTGCAATGGTTGACAAATTTTTGTAACCAGTTGTGTAACATCCCAAAATTCAAGACCCAAAAATTTCATTTTTAATTAAATTATTATAAAACCAATAGTATAAAAACATCCATAGTGTCATCCCATATCAAAACCAGTATATCAATAATCAAAACATGTCATAATGAAACAATATCAAAGTATAATCCCAAAGATCTCACGTGCGGAAAACATAGTGTGATCTGATGTGATCATGCCGACTCCTTTCCTTTTGACGAAGAAGTACCTGAAACCAAAAATGAAAACCATAAGCATGAACCTTAGTGATTTCCCCCAACATACCACATACCATACAATACACATACTGCCTAGCATATCCGGGTGCTGGCCTACCCCTTCGGTCTCTTTCAACCAGTAACTACCTAGCATATCAGGGTGCTGGCCTACCACTTCGGTCTCTTTCAACCGGTAACTGCCTAGCATATCAGGGTGATGGCCTACCCCTTTGGTCTCTTTCAACCGGTAACTGCCTAGCATATCAGAGTGCTGGCCTACCCCTTCGGTCCTTTCGACCGGTAACGGGGACTATTTCACCCCCTACTACTACCATATAACATTCTAGTACATAAACACATAAGTCACATACTTCCTAGCATATCAGGGTGTTGGCCACCCCTTTCGGTCCTTTCTACTGGTAACAGGGTCTGTCTTACCCCTCCTACCACTATCACATAATATCATAGCATACTAGCACATAAAGCATAACAGATAGTGGCATACCAGACAATTATCACAAAGACAATCATCTCTACTATAATCTCCTACTACTAGGCCAACATTGGTGCCTTAGACCCACTTCTACTGGAAGGTAACTCACCTCACACTTCTGAAGTCCCGCGGACAAAACTCTAGTTGTTGGATGATAGATTCCAGAACTGTCAACATCAAAATAACATCCAATTAATAATTGGGTTCCAACACATAACCATAAGTCCATGCTTAGGGTAAAAGACTATTTTACCCCCAACTTAGCTTGATTCAAGCCCAAGGCCCAAAAGTTAAATAATGAACCAAAGCCCAACATATGGCCCAATTTGGACCTCTACATGGTCTTACCCTAAGGCCCAACCATTTATTCCAGTCCAAACATTCGTCATTCCAATGATCAAACATCTCATAATCATCAAGGCCCAGTTATGGCCCAATTTTCCAAATTGGGCCCAAGTCATTCCAATGGGCCTTATCCTAAAGCCCATCCAAATATTCTAGTCCATATACGTGTTCTTGGATGGCCCATCAATAGCCCAATCACCAAAAACCAATAGAAAGGCCCAACTCAAGGCCCGAACAAAATTCGGGTTTTCCCTTAAAATGACGATTAGGGTTAAGTGTTCCCACTTAACCCATTAAGGACTTAATCCCTTAATTCCAGTATTACCTTAAGTTAATTACAAAGGATTATTAATTAATATTTTAAGTCTAGTAAATAGTTCCAGCGTGGGTCCCGATCAATTCCCAAAATTAGGGTTTCATGACATTAAGGTTTTCTAAACCCTAATTAGGGTTTCCAACCCAAATACTATCCAATTAGGTCCAAATATTAAGATTTAGGCTGATTAGGGTTTCACTGAGTCAATTAGGGTTTCATTAGGTTGAGCAACATCCACTGCCACCTCGGGCGGTGGTGGTCGACAGGGGCCCACGACAGCAGCCACCACCTCACGGTGGTAGTTATGATTCTAGTCCAATCATGTCCAAGCATCCCAAAAGCAATCCAATCACACGCAAATGCACACCGCCACCCAACACGACGGCTGGTGGCGGCAAGAGGCAGCAACCACCACCTCACGGTGGTGGTGGTGGCAATTTCATTGATTATTATGGCCAAAATCCGATTATACAACATAACATCCCCAAAATAAACACACACACACAATATAAACACGCACACGCACGCAGTAACTCATGTGCATAACCACCCAACACAGCGGTTGGTGGCGGCAGAAGGCGGCAGAAGCGTAGAGATGGCGAAAGCCACCATGCTGGTCATTCTCGGTTTTTTGGCCAACGAGCACCCCTCAACGTATATAAACACCAAAAATACACACACATACTTGCAACCCCTAGCTAAGGTGTGCGCAACAACCTCCCTCAGAGTGATTGTTGACCGTAGCAGCGGAGAACAACCGCATGGGCGACGGCAGACGTGGTTGTGGTGTAGCACTGAGGATCCGAGAAGAAGTGCCACCGCGAACGACCACAACAGCAGCAGAAGAAGGGACCTCCGCCCTTGGTCCTTGTCGTCGTCAGCAATGAGAGTGACGAAGCACCGGTTGACAGCTCGCATCAGTGGCAAGGCCTCGGTTGCTAACGGTAGTTGGTTGGGGTCCATAAGTTGATCGGAAGGACGAGAGAGGCGAGTGGTGGCGGCTGGAGTGACAACGGTGGTGAAGGTGGCAGCTGAAGGATACTCTTAGGGTTTACGTAAGGATATATATATATATATAATATTATATATATATATATATATATATTATATATATATATATATATATATACTAGATTATAACCCGTGTAAAATGTGGGGGAACATTTAAAAAAATCCAATAACAAAAATAGTAATATCTTTTCTTTTCATTAGAATGGTAATTGTAAAAAACAATGTCGCAATCTCCTCTATAGAATTTACCAATGTCTTCTTTAGGTACTATCGTTTTAGCATTGCCATTAATCCTCCACACCTTAGTTTTATCATTTTCTTCAAGAAAAAGTGGGACTTCTTTGGTTGCAGTTTTTGGTTTTTTGCCAACACTTTGAGAGCAACTCCTTGTTAAATATATGTTCTTGTTAAATACACACATATATTGGTAAAGCGGCGAAAGGTCGTGAGTCATTGTTTGTTGCATGAATGTATTGTAATATAGAGTATCTTTGGAATTCACTAAACCTTGTCTTAGAGTTGTTGAATAACTATTTCCATGTTGTTCTTCTGATCGTTGAAAAGCTCCGGCATGACTGTAATCGCATCGAAGAATTAAATATGTTTTTTAGACTTCTATTGTAATATAAACTACCTCTTGTGGTGCCACATGTGGAGAATGTTTCCCTGGAAATCCCTATGGGGCTAGGTTTGCCCTGTAAAGGAGCTCGAACCTGGGGTGCTCGTTGAAATATTGCGAGTAGGCTTCCACTTAATTCGTTTGTCGTTTCCAAAAAAATTAAGACTTTATTTTATATTAATAAATGTATGACAATGATCTTTTAATGATAAATGGGTTTTTAGAGTATATTATATATGTTTTAAAAATGAAAATTTTTTGTTGAAAAATTAGAAGGTCACATATTTTCTTGATTTTACGTACTATATATAATCTATTTGTGAAATTGATGGTTATTGTGTGTACTTTTGGTTTTTTTAAATTATTTTTTACAAAAAAAAAATTAACAAATTTGACTATATTAATAACTTTCTCTTAAGTTTATCGGTTGATAATCTTTCCTTGAAGAAAATTACATTATCTTTTTATCTCTTTTTATTAGAAATAATTTTTTACATAAAGTGCTTATATACTCTTTTGTATGCCCGGCTCGATAAATTTAGTCGAGCTTGATAGTTAATACTTAATAGGCTCGTTTTATAAAAAAGACCAGCTTGAGGCTTGTCTTCTAAATAACTCAACTCAAGCTTGGTTACGCTCGGGATCCAATTGACAATTGTATCGACTTGACTTGGCTAAAGTGCACTGTACACCCCTACCTCTAATATACAAACCATCCAATCGATATGCATAGGCAACTATGTCATGTACTGATCAGTATAGTCAAGTACTAAGACAGCTTTGTACTTTTTGTAGCGTTTGTAACTTAAATACCCAATTCCCAATAAAAACATGTGCATGGGACTTGATTCAGATTCCATTAGACTAAAAGGAGTGGACAAGCTAAATCCACTCGTTAAGCTCGCTAAGCTCCTTTGAACACGACCCCCTAGCAATTACTAAGGGGGTCGTTATGGATGAATCGTTATGTATACAACGAGAAGAAAAGATAACAAAATGGTGTAATGTGATTGGTTGGAAAGAAAGTGGTCTGCTGAATATGTAAATTTCATATTTTTTAATTAAAACAAAGGTACTTCTACCCAATCCCTTTTCTATTTGCCCTTTCCATTAAATTTGAAAAAAGAAAAAAAAATAGAATGTTTGGAGTGTTACCACTCCCTACCAATTGCTAAGAATTAGGAGGTTAGAGAGAAAAATGATGTGGCACCCAAATAGATGATGTGACAAGGTGTTAGGAGTGTTACCACTCCTCCTAGACTTATAATCAAAGTCCATCCCATTGTAAAATAAAAAATGGACAATACTCATAATTATACACTCACAATATGATTCAAAACAAAATACAAAATGAGCTTATATATGCTCAAAAAGCTACAACACAATGCATCATGATATGCAAGATCTCTTGTACCAAAAACCGAAACACCTTGAAATCAAATAAGTTATTTTACTGCTCAATCACCCGCTTGACACCATCCAAAGTGTTTTTAAGCAGCATTGTTACAGTCATGGGCCCCACACCCCCAGGAACAGGCGTAACCCATCCCGCAACTTTACATGCTTGGTCAAAGTCAACATCACCCACAAGCCTATATCTTGATTTTCTGGTAGCATCATCCACCGCATTCGTCCCCACATCAATAACCACAGCCCCACTTTTTATCCAACTACCCTTATCTAATAATAAAACAATTCAACAAACCAAAGTGTAAACTAACCAACCTATAATCCAAATAACTAAAATCATTATAAGCAATGAATTAAGTATAACTGTAACTGTATAAGTCTGGTTTATGGTTACCATCATGGGTTGTCCAATTGCAGCAATAACAATGTCTGCCTCATGAATCATACTTTCTGGATCCTCTGTACGCGGATGAACAACAATAACTGTTACATCTTCCTTCAATAGAAGTATTGAAACTGGTAACCCAAGAATGTTACTTCTACCAACAGTTGCACGTTTTCAGAAGTTCTATACATCCATGTTTAAGAAACAATTTTTCATTTATTTGTTTTGTTTATTATATTTATACCATATCCTAAATGGTAAATAAAAGTGGGATTGATTGGCTTGCCTTTGGGGTGCAAGGAAGAAAAAGGGGTTCTCTTCCTTTCATAGCAAGTTTGATAATGTTGAGAGGTGAAACCCATCCACATCCTTGTCAATGTTGATTTCTGTTAAATCATTCTTTTCTAACATAATGTTGTGTTCAAATAGTCATGTATGTGTATATGCAGAGAAACGAAATGATGATTCTTTACCTTGCCATATTTCTCCATCAAGGTACTGACTTCAGAGGCAATTTCGGAACGAATTGTTTGTGCGATTGCTTTTCCATCAATGATGGTGGCCTTATGATCTACGAGCAATGCCATAGATACGACAACTTGAGATATCAAGGTTCCACCAACCCTGTTACATATTCGATTCACTTTGTAAAATCACATCCGAACAACCATTTAAATCAAAATGTAAAAGCATCATGTGATGAATCCAGACAAGATTAAACTTATTAGCAAGCACAAACATACCCAATTAGATTAAGGTATAAGGCGCATAGGTTATTACACTAAGAGGGATATGTAAGAACAGAGTGTGATTGAGGTCCTTAAAGCAGTAAATTTCAAATCGAAGAATGAGAGGATTGTGTGATGGAGGATGAATATAAGTTAGATCAATAGCAAACAGAAACACACGACCAAGTAAATAAACGAATCGCATAGGAGTAAAATAGAAAAACTTCAATCAATTTGTGAAATTCAAACTAAGATTTCTTAGAGACCGTATAACCAAACAAACTTCGTATGAAGTATCATATAGTTATAATATAAACAGTAACAAAAATTTATCTTAAATTCGAAAAGAAAACAAACAGTAGTGAAAGAAGGATACTGAGTAAGCACTAAAAAGAACAAATCCAGAGCTTTTTACTACCTCATAGTTAGAGATTTTGATCGTAGAAGCTTTGAGGGGTTATTTTGATCCGATAATAGAGAACACTATGAATACCCATACACACATCGTATACAGGAAGAGAACTTTCAAAAATAACCGACAATCAATGGTAAGAGATTTCTTCGGGTTGAAGGTATATATGAACATAAATTTGATGCCACAAATCGAATAAATCTTCAATTATATAAGCATTATATAAGTGAGGTTGTTGGGTTGGAGGGCATGGTTGTCAAACCTAGGATCCTAGGTATGAAAAACGATCCGGATCGTAAACGGATCGTATTTGGGGTAGGATCGCAGGTAGGATCGTAAGGTCATAGGTAGGATCGTAGGATCGAGATTCGATCCGATCCTACCTTCCCTTGATTTTTTTTTTTTTTTTTGCAAATGAAATTTTTTTACCACTTTATTTATTTTATACTATTTACCAATTTACTGTTTATCATTTTGTGTTGTGACTTATGACTAATATTTTGAAGTTTTTATAACTTTTGAAAGAAAAATTAAATGTTTGAAATATTTTTCATGATTAAAATTTATAAATTAAAATGATATTTTATTTTGTAGGCTCTTAGGATCCCAATCCCGATCTTACGATCTCGATCTCGATCTTGCAA